GCATAACGAGTGACGAGAGGGGAAGTCCCGGATTGTGCGCTTGCCACATCAGTCTGTGTTTAGCACTCGTTCTGCTAGCATCTTAGTGTCGCTTGTGATCACACATTCTTCCAAACTTGTGTTCAGACATATTATTTGTGATCTTTTTGTGCAAAGTTTAATAACCCTTGCAAAAATGTCCCCGAGAAAAAAGCAGCAAAAAGACAGCCATAAGAGAATAAAAATAACCGTAGAAATGAAACGTAAAATCATTGAAAAGCAAGAACGAGGTGTGAGCGTGGCTGATCTAGCACGCACATACAGTCGGTCTACATCAACGATTTGCACTATCCTCAAGAACAAGGACAAGATTAAGGAGATAGATGCTTCAAAGGGAGTGACAAGAGTATCTACACAACGGTTACGTATTCTCGACGATGTTGAAAGGTTGCTCCTCATATGGATAAACGAAAAGCAATTGCAAGGCGATACTATTAACGAGAACATCATTTGTGAGAAGGCGAAAGTGATTTTCGCCGGCCCCGTCCTAAACAATGTATATATAATTTTCTTTGAATAAACGTTATACATAATTTTTTTCGGCATGGAACGCATTATCGTATTTTACATTAATTTATATGGGAAAATTTGTTTCGCTTAACGAGTATTTCGCATTACGAGTAAGATTCTGGAACGGATTATGCTCGTTAAGCGAGGTTCCACTGTATTGGGGTTTTGGACTTTGTCTATTCTAAAGCACACAACGTTTCGGACACTATATCTGTTTCTGTCCTCAGGTGAGGAGTGGTAGGCACCTACTATTTGTTTCCGTTAAAAAGAGATAACCCCAATCACTGGACCCTCAGTATGTCTCCCACCCATCACCTGAGACATGTTCTCTAGAATACAAGGCGATGAACAAAGCCTGGAAACCCAGTGGTCCTGAGAATCAAGTACATATATAAGCAGACCAAGGTGTCTGTCTTTTATCAGAGTACATAAGGACTCCCTCAATTCTTCTAGTTATACAGCCTCATTTTCATTCTTGCTTGCTGACACAGTATTTTGATGGATAGTTATACTGAAATTCATCTTTGGGTCAAAGTGACTGACACAAAAGTTAGTCCTTCTGTATACAATACAGTACATGGGTCGGTGGGAAATTCTTATTTCTTATGTTCTGTAAACCTGGTGCAGTGCACTAAATATATGGTCAATGAGTACTGTCAATCACTTCCCTCTTAAAGATGGCGACTGCTACTATCTGTGAAAAATTCACAAATGAGCCCATCAGAACCACAGTGTCATCACCAAAAAAAGAAATGAAAATAGAAATTGTAACAAATTTCCATGAAATCCTTAAGGCATTAATCTGGATTTGGAGACATATGTGACCATGCCACAATTCAGGAGGTTAGAGGCTTCTGACCCTGGAGCCTTGGATTTAGTCCCTGGTGACTTCATTTTGATGCACTAGAGAAGGTCATTCTATGAGCTTCCCTGGGTTTCACCTGCAAATCATCATTCAACCACTGCTCAGTACTCATCTACATATATCTGTGCCCTCATAGGTCTGTGATAGGCCAGACCAGGCAGCACATTATCACATCCTCAGTCTGTAAACTGGGGACTTCTGGTCACAGAGTAAAGAAGCATATGAAAGTTTGTGCCCCTCTTGAACTCTGTGTCCTTTAAACCTATTCCATGTCTAGGTTCTCTGTAAATTAAGAATGAAGTACCAAGTTTGTGATGAGGTTAGTATTTAAATAATTTTATTAGCTCATGTTGGAAGTCTGTGGAACTATCAATGCTATTCTTCACAGTACACATGTGGAATAATGAAGAAACACCCAATTTCCAACACAAGTTTTACCAACATGAATTTGGTTTAAGACATTTTTCTTTAAGTACAGCTTGTTTTTAACTAACATGACTATTTTTCCAATTTATCATTATTTCTCCATATATACATAAACAAGTAAAAACCACCAAGCAATAACCAAAGTGCAATCATAATAAGAATATAGAATTAAAATATGTTGATCTGGTTAGGGCACTGGAATGCATCCCCTCCCCCATTTACATTATTTCTAATGGGGGATTCGTGTAGTAAAGATACACATGGTAGAACACAACAGGAAGAACTGCCCAGCCCTGTGGAATACACATGTAAGTGCGTAGCTGGGACTACACATCAAATATTGAAAAAACAAAATGGAAGCACAGCAATTTTCATCAACAGTTTTAGACGCTTGATGATGACCACTGTTGGTCAAAACATGTACTGTGATGTGGAGAAACTTTAAAATAAGTTGTAGAAAGAGGCAGTGTGCGATGTGGAAAAAAGTTAAGTAAGTTTTAGAAAGATGTGTTGCACATAAGATGGTTGAATCAGTGACGTTTGTCGAACAATAAGTGAGGTGCAGAAGGATGCTGCAATATAATATTATCAACTAATACAATTTCACCTTACATAAAATTTTTTCAAGAACACATGTATTATGTTGGTTCCGGACTGCGCATACTGTTTCAGAAGAATGATGTTAAGATGAACAAGAGGACTAAGAATCATCACTAAAGCCTCTGAGAGTTTATTTAAGATTACGGCCTTCTGGGAAATGATGCAGTGCATTCTGCTACTTCTCACCCCACTTCCTCTATCCTGAAGATTGAGACAGCTTCCTCTGAAACACTGGTACATATCTACCAGTCAACACGTGATCAATTCAGAGATAACCGTAGTCTTGATATTCAGTGCCATGAGAACCTCAAATCTTGCTGAGAGAATTGCCTAATCAATTTACAAGATCATGGATAAATATTGTTACATATCTGTTTGTGTTCTCCTAATCTTAGGGATGCTTTCCTGTCATTATTCTAAATGACAAGGACATTTGTATTATAATAATGTGTTTCAAATCTGAATCATCCTGAAGACGGCAGCAGCAGTTCCTCCAAAATATTAGTATCTATGTACCAAAATACACAGCATAAAATCCCAGATAATAATATTAAATCTCACTGCTGTGAGAACCACAAGTACCAACAGTCAGTGGAACAATAGCTAATGATTCAGTACCAGAAATTTTACTTCTTAAGCAGAAAGTTCTATGTTTATTTCCCATAGTGGAAAAGTGGAATGGAACTTTCAAAAACTCTAAGAACTTCTTTAACTGAAGTTTTGTCAATGAAAAGTTTTAACCTCGTTACACTCAGGTCTAACTTCTATCTTAGCAGACAACGCAGATAAGAGGTTAGCAATCCTTCTTCACACTTATCAGTCTTCAGTTGAAACTGAGACTTTCTAACTGAGATTTTCCATAGCTTTTCTCAGATATTGCTGAAATGGTACCTGAACATATTCACTGGCAAATGGAACTCCAGCCATTTTAAAAAAAATTTGCCTTACACCAAGCATGGCCCAAGCTCTTTCCATGCTCTGCTTAAATTAATTATTAATTTCTCTGATAGGTGTCATAATTACAGTTGTTTCTTCATGGTTGCACAATGAAGCATTCCTGAATCAACTGGCATTTTGTCCAAAAAATTTTGGTTAACAAAAACATATGCTCATCCTACCAAAACTTTTCTTCCAGCACAGCTAGCAAATATGGCTGGCCCAGGCATTCAAATAGCCCAATTAAATGCCTGAAAATTATATTTTAAAATAAGCACTGTTACATCCTTTACATCCTTTCCAAATCACTATTCACAAATATTCTGCCATTTGATGCTGTATACTGAATTCATTTCTCAAACTGTTATTAAGAAAAACAACTCCTATCTACCCTTACTCAATGAATTTTAAAATAGCACCCTGTAACCTGCAAAAACAATATAAATTTGATTTGTATAGGAAAGCTTCAGTGTCAGAAAAGTCTTTAGAGTAGAAACTGGACTCCAGTATCTGGAATTAACTGATTATTACAGGAGACACTTTTAAAGGTCATAGTTCCACTGTTGAGTTCTCACGCTTCATTGTTTCAATCACATATTCATTCTGAAAAGAAAAAAAAAACAGTTATGTGCAACCAGTCTCAGTTTGGAGTATCATAAATATTCACATCACCCAAATTACTATGAATATGAATATGAATACTATTTATAATTTCTATGCTGGTAACATTGTGCACATACTGCTATTTTGTTTCCTGTATTTAACTCTTTCTGCTCTACAGATATACTTCCTTTGATGTGTTTGGTTATCATTAGGTGATCTTTGGTTAAATTAGGTTAGGTTTGGTTATATTTTATTGTACTGTGTTAAGTTAGATTTGGTTACAGATGTACAGATATGTCTTTTGAAACTTTTTATTCTAAACTGGACAAATGACCTATATATGAAAATGGTTAATCATATAAGAAATCATTCCAATAAAATACAGTAACTGGAAATGCTTCCCAGCTTAAACAGAACAATTATTCATTCTATTAAATTACAAAAGAGAAACTAAAACAGACAACTTCCGAAAACTGTCCTGTCCTGTCCTGTCTTGCCCTGTCCAGTCCTGTCCTGTCCTGTCCTGTCAGAAACAGGTACCATAAGACTCATCAACTACAGTCAGATGAATCTTAATGTTTGGTCTCCCGGCATTCAATCAAACATTTACAGCATATTTTTATGGTTTGAACCTCACTGATACTGTTTTGTATCACATTATCATTATACCAGAATTGTCTCAATTTCTGCATATACGAGTACTTCCTCCCTCAAAATTATTAACTTTCTCTTACAACATATTCTAATATTGTGAAACTTTTCAATGAAGAACTAATACTCAGTACTTTCAGGTCTTCCAATTAAAATATCGTATGCATCTCTCATTTTTCTCATACAAGTTACATGATCCACCCATCTCATTATTCCTTGTTTGAACATCCTTATAATATTTAAAGAGCAGCGCAAATTAATGAACTCCTCTCATAATAGGACAGGTTAAATATCAAACACAGGTATCAGAAATGTAGTCAAATGCAATGATATCATTTATATATTAAGTATATTCCACACCATACTAACTTCTCATTTTTTCAGCAATGTTAGTTTGTTTAACTTTGTGAAAGATATACTATTAAACCGTTTATACCAACCTCATTATTTTCATCATTATCTAAAAAGCGTTTCCGTACTCTCTTAGCTGATTGTACTCGCTGTGATAAGATCTGGAACATAGCACAGAACAAATATATAAATGTAATTATCTGGAGTTTCAGATATCACTTAATGGGTGACACAATGATTTTTCAGGGGGGCAGCTATTTTTCCAGAGGGGTACTCAGTCTTCCAAAGGGGGAATCCAGAAAATTTGCTTATAAACTTATATTTAAGCTGTTTAAGACTACTTTTAATGTTTAAAAAACACTCTTAACTTGTATTATTAATATTTTGGATGTTTCTTCCCTTTCTATAGTATTGATTCCTGTTTTAAAAAAAACTGTAGTGGGGAGGAGCAGATGCCTGGACAAATCATCTTTACACAAATCACCAATTTACCTGAAACCTCCGTTGTTTGGCCTCCTCTTGCTTCTCGTCCAGTAGCTCATGTGATAATGTTATTTGTTGATCCTCCAATCGCTGCAGACGACGAGGTGGGTGTTTCCGTATTATACTTTCTTGTGCTACAGGAACTTCAAAGGCCAGTGACTGTGCTGTGAAAGGTAAGGATACAGCAATGAGGATCACTGTTTTAATAGATAACCAAATCTGTGCACAGAACACAAGTTTATCACTACACCAATATTACAGGCACATGCAATTGCCCTATTGATGGCACACATCCCAGAACAATAAATTTCTATGCTTTTATATTCCCTTGTATTTCAAACAGACTGCAAAGGTCCAGTTCACACATATAATTAAGTCAACAAAATTAGTTTAAATAACTTATAATACAGGTAAAATGTTTTTATTTAATAATTACTAAGAGCTCATATTAACATATGAAACAGAAATATTGTTATAGAAAAAGACAATTATTAGTACTCTGACAGCACCTGAGACAAGATTTGTAAGGAGTATAAGAAGAAAAACCAAGAAAGAATAAGAAACAAAAAATGGGAGACAATTTGATGATAAACAAATAAATAACAGAATAAATATAACTTCATGTAGCCCTGTGAAAGACAAAGAAGGCTTTGGAGGAACATAGCGCCTCCATCTTCAGGACTGAAGAATAAGCCAAGCAAGAATGCAGCAGACAGAAAGCAGAGCTACTCTTGATCTCCATTTCTTGCTCATTTTCAGGTGTTGTATCGACTGCAGTGGTTATATAGAATTTAATTACAAATGGCATAATTATGCCATCATGCCATTGCACAGGCAGTTAGAAATTAGCTTCTCACTTCAGAGCCTTGGGTTCAATCCTGGGTAACTTCACGACAGGTTCATGGTGGACAGAGCGGCAATGAAGCATGTTTTCACCGATGTTCCTCTGGTTTTCACCTGCTAATCATCCACACATAACTGCCCTCCATGTTCAGATAGCCCTGACCGAGTAGCACATTATCACATCCTTGGAATTTAAGTCGGGGGGCTTCATCTGTGACCATGCACTTGACTGGGGAAGTTAAGTACTTTATGACTGCAACTGGCAAAGAAGGAGTACTGTGGCCATTTCAAGGCACTGCCTTGTCTTCCAGGGAGAAGCACAGATTCAGTGACAAGGAGAATATCTGGATGTAAGAAAGATAAAGGAGTAGAGGAACAGAGAAGAATATATAGTGAGAAACTTCAAAATTTGTATTTTTGACACATTGTAGTAAGGGCAATTGAATGAAGGGGGATAACATGGGTAGGGCATGTGGAAAAAGGAAACATAAAGAAATTTTTTTTGTATTTGAGGTTCGCACAGTGGTGGTTATGGAAATTTCTGTCTTCTGAGATGCAGTAGAATAGTTGGTTGAAGCACTATGCTACAAGCCGGAAGGTCACGGGTTTGAGTCCCGATAAGGTGGACTTTTTTTCAGTTGACCTAATACTTCCACCCACACTATGGACCTGGGGTCGATTCAGCCTCTAACAGAAATGAGTACCAGGAATGTTCCTGGGGGTAAAGAGCAACTGACATGTAAGGTAAAGAGCAGCTGACATGTAAGGCTGACAACCTTACCACCATCTGTAACCTGATTTTTAGACAAAATGTGGGAGCCTTGGCATCTCACAACCTTATGGGCCTCCATGGCCTGTTACAGGGATAGCTTCTGTCCTCTGAGATATAACATCATGCAGTCCATTGAAAGTCAACTGATGGTACAGAGGAACATGTCACCTCCATTTTCAAGGTTGAATGACAGAGGTGACATGTTCCTTCGAAATGTCAGTTGTCTTTAAACAGACCACACAGCATTATATCCTTGTAGATAGAACTTTTCATATAAAATTTTGATCGGAAAATCTGAGCTCCTTGATACATCAAGGCAAAGATGGGTAGATTATATTCAAATATACTGTAGAAAAATAGGTTGTGAAGGCAGTGAATGTTTGGTTTAGTGATTCATCAACAAAGTGAACAATTTGTCCAACTGACTTGCTAAATGGACAGACAGACAGACAAACAAAGTTTATACTCTTGGGCATTTGCACAGTGGAAATGGGTGGCTTTGCCAGCATGCCAGAGGAACATACCGCTTGTATCTTCAGGGTCAAAGTGTAACGCAAACAACCAGCATGAAGTAAACAACAAGCACTGACCTCGCAATTAACTTCTACCAAACTACAAGACGCCACATCTCAGATGTTAGTACTATTCAGAATGACTGCATATTCATGTTTTATATATGTGGTGAGGGGGGATCATCCTACTACAACCATGAAGAAGGGGGCAAAATGTTGCTCAGAAACGTCAGAAAAACACAGCCCACCACAGCATTATGTAGTTAGTTAGTTAGTTATTGGAGAGGGTGGGTTTCCCCATGCACTTAGACCTGTATTGGTCCATTGTGCTTCCCTCTTATGATTTCTACCAGTCTCAATATCCTACCGGTACTGGTGCTTACCATCAGTCCCGCCCAGCCAGCGAGACCTGCTCTACTAGCTGATAGGTATCTATAATGCTTCCCCCATCTACCAGAGGTATTAGAGACTGCTGTTGGGCAGGAAACGTCCGTAATTTGGCTCAGTGACCTCCTTTGGAGATATGAGGTTCTTTTACGTGCCGTAAAGCTACGACACGGGACCCACGGCTTAAAGTCCCTCCCGGAGGACCTGTTCCCTGAAATTTTCCGCCCTTAAAAATTCGACGACCTCCGCCGGGTATTTGAACCCGCGTACTACGAGTCATGAGGTGGGAACGTTACCTCTAGACTACGGAGGCCACTTCAGCATTATGTAAATTCACAAGGGTAGGCTCGACATTAAGAATGAACCACTGTGATGAAATAAGATTGGTACGAAAAGCACAACGCCATTTTCTTGCATCTGTCATAGTTAAGCTGTCTGAATCCTGCTGTACAAACCCGTGCGCTCTCTGTTCCCGCTGTTCTGCAAAGGGCGAATGCTTCCCTCCTTCAGCTGTTCCGTCGGAGGGTCTTCTCCCTCCAGGGCAGGCAGTTCGGATTTGCCACGCGTGGGGCCACGTGCCGCCTCACCATCGCCGACGGAGTCCCCTACTGGCATCACAGCCGTCCGCTTAGACGACCCGCAACCCATACTCACACTCATCCGGCGACAGGGCTGCTAGAGCTGTACTTCTGTAAGTAGACGCGGTGGACTGAACGAGCCCTGACCTGTTACTATACGGAGGCGGAGGTGGAAACGGTGCGGCAGACTTAATTACTTAAGCACTACGCCATGAAGGTGAGCCGGGGTTATAGCGACTGCCTACGGGCTGGACGACCGAGAGGTCGGAGTTCGAGTCCCGATAGGGTCAGAATCGTATCTTCTCCATATCGTCCAGACCGGCTGTGGGGCCCATTCAGCCTCCTATGTAATGGGTACTGGGGCCTCTTTACCTGGCGGTAAAGTGGCAAGGGCGTGAAGCTGACCACTCACCTCCAACTACTGCCGAGGTCAAGAAAATGTCGATCTATACATCCACTCCTCCATACGCCTTCATGACGCAGTGTTTAATTAGTTAAGCACAGTGACAACTTTAACTTTACCTTACCTATGCTATGAAGATATATAGGGAAGTGGAGATATAGTTCCACAAATCTTAACCTCGGTACTAGATGGAGGTGAGCGGTCATCTTCACGCTCCGGTCACTTTAACCCCGAGGGAGGTACTCCCCGTATCCATTGAAATGAGGCTGAGTGGGCCCCAGAGTCGGTCTGGACGCTGTGCAGTAGAAATAATCTCTTACCCTTGTCGGGAATCGAAACCCGGAGGTCCAGCCTTGTCACCAGATGTGGAAATGCCTTTCCAGAATTAAGTAGACTACCCGGACCAGTAGAAATGCCAGGAAGAATAACAAACAGACATACCTCTCTGTACATGTACAGTCATAATGAGTGACATTATAGTTACACAACTTGCTGATAGAGCGCTGCATGCGCTAGTTGCATGCCAGTAGCACCACGCCAAGAAGTCATGGAGGTACAGCTCCACCATTCTTAACCTCGACGCCAGATGGAAGTGAGTGGTCAACTTCACGACCCTCCCGCTTTACCCACGGGAAAATCGTCCCCCGAACCCAGTGGATAGGAGGTTGGGTGGGCCCCAGAGCCGGTCTGTGTGTTATGGAGCAGTGAAACATTTCTTTCGGGAATCGAACCGTGATTCCAACCCGAAGCCTAGTCGTTCTACCGACTGAGCTGAGTTTCTATATGTCTGCACACTCGTGCGTCAGACTTGCAACTTGAAGCGTTCCTGAAAGCAGGTTGTAACATGGGGATCAAGGCTCAGACCCACTTCTCAGTTTGTCAACTCTGTTGCGCTAGAAGTGGGGCACGTGGTAGCGTAGTTGGTTGGGGCACTACGCTACAAGCCGGAAGGTCGTGTGTTCGATTCCCGATGAGATCACTGGATTTTTCAATTTACCGAATCCTTCCAGCCTCACTGTGGCCCTGGGGTCGACTCAGACCTTAACAGAAATGAGTACCAGGAATCTTCCCGGGTGTAAAGGGCAGCCGGCACTTAAGGCTGACGATCTCACCGCCATCTGTGAGCCGAGTGTCTAGAAAATGTTTTAGCCTCGACGTTTCACGCCTATAGGCCTCCACGGTCTGTAAGAGGGATGGCTTTACCCTTTCCTTTTACGCTAAAAGTTTGCGTTTCTATTATAAAACCAAGAATTGGGTATCAAAAAACATAATATTAAACATTTAAAACATCAGAAATATTAAAAATAAAGTTATTATTAACGATGAATCGGAAACTCAAGACTTACTCGAGATTATAACGTGGCGCTCCAATCACGATAGAGAAGTGAGGGGAAGAATAATCGTTGCCAAATTTCGAAGTAAATTCGAAAATGGAGTTTTGAGATGTACGTCCGAAAATTAGAAGCGTAAGCCTAACAGGGATTAATTTAATTGGATCCTTAGTATGAAAATTCGTAAGTCGACAAGTGGTAGTTCAAGGTATTTAAGTATTGGACGTTATAACTGGACTGTGAAGAATTGAATGAGTAAGATTGGGAACCAGCAGCGTCACTCCCCGGTAGAAGAGTAGTGACCGGTAATAGTCAGACGAGTCAGACTCCCTCTCTTCGAAAACGAGGCACCATTTCAAAACACGCAAAAGACTGGAAAGAACAATATATGGTCAAGGGTCGCAGTGGGGTCCCAAACCAAAAACGACTGTGCTGGCGAGGTCCAGCAACAATTTATTTGACCCGACTGGATTAGATTGTGAGTCCGCGAAGCGAAGAATACGAAATTATTACTGAGCAGGTTGAGGAATTCATTCCTGCTGCATTTGTCTGGGATGCCTTTGTTGTAGAGAAACAGCGACCTGAAATTAAACAGAAAGCAATAGTTGAGGTTTACCGTGAAAACTGCTGTCTTCTGAAATGTGACAAGCTGTCTGGAAGATTGTTATCGACGTTTCGGGGGAACGTGTTGACTGCATATCTAGGATTACATGGAGACACCCTATTCATCTGAAATGGTGGTAAAGATGTACCAGAATACAGTGTATCACATCCAAGAGGACAATAATATATATAGAAAGCGTTTACTTACATGCGCTTATGTCAGTTTTGCAGCCCTATATTGTGGCCTTTGTGTAGCATCAATGTAAACCTTTAAAGCCCAGTGGTTACCATACATACCACCTACTTTAACACTAAAAACACTTACGTTTTCCCCACATAGTCTATTTATTTCGAATGATTCTCGCAATAAACAGGGATAATTTACCGAACAGCATTAACTGACTGGTCTTTGTTACGGAGACGTGGTGTTTCCTGTGAGGTACGAACTGAAATTTTATACATCATTTAAAAGAAAATCATTCTTGAAGAGGGTTAGTTAGCGGGAGTCGGAGTGAATCAATAGCTGAGAGTGAGAGCCAGCAGTCAGCCTAGAATGACTGCGCTGGCGAGGAACGGTATCAGTTTACTGGAGTGCATTGGTCTTTCTTCAAAGCGCATCTACTGACCAGAGAAGATACCAGGGGAAGCAATTTATGTCGGATACAACATTGATGTCTCTTGGCAGTTATACTGACAACTGCAGCTAGTGTGCAGGCAACTCGAGCTGTCTGTCGTCCTTCAAAAGTTTATGTAACTTCATACGTTAAAAATGTTGTGTTATACAATTCAGAAGATAAGTTTCTGGTGCACATAGGTCAGCAACCTGCGGCTAACATTAAGAACTCAGAAAATATGTGAGATTTGAAATTCATGCAGCAGTGGTATTATTGCAGTTGTCTTGGGGGCTGTGATGCCGGTACTCATTTACCAAACTACACGATGTCACGTACCAGAAAGCAGTAATCTTAAACTCGGCAAGTAATTTATCTACTTGTCTTTTTTAATAAACAAGTGGGAAAATATTTTCAGTCTCTTCAATTTTCTCATCCTACTGAGTTTTAAATTGATGTATTTTAATATTTTAAACTCCATGTGTCTAATATCAAAACAATTCTTTCTCGTGTAAAATTTGAAGAGAATGAATGCACTAAAATTTTCCTAGCGAATTACTGCGACTGATCGTCGAAAAATATTGTGGCGTATAGAGCTGTTGCTAAGCTGCGACTCTGGCCAACTGTTCGGCATAAACGTTCCCGCGGCAACGAATACACACGCAACAACAGAGTTACTGTTGGAAACGAGGTGTTTCTATGTGGTCGGTGCCGAGATGTTATAAGCAAGGGACAAAGTCAGTCGTTAGGCAATTCTGTACGGGAGGCTGTGAAGAAAAGTTAGTTGCAAGAGTGCTCAGTTGAAAGCCCGACTTTGAAGAGAAGACTTTATGTGTGATATTTGGAGTGTGTAATTCAGTGAGACTGTTATAGTTTCTGCGTTAAAATCCGTTGCTAGGAAACGGCTAGTGAAGACTGTATTAGACTGAGGACACTAGTCTATGTGTGTCAGTAATCTGTGAAGTGCAGTCACGAGTTTGTGAGTGTATAAGCGGTCAATAAATCGAGTCACCAATCCAAACCCCGTCTACAGTCACACATGCACACGTGGCAATATTACAGTGCAACACTTTCCTAGTTTTTTTTTTTATTGTAGACAAGAGACTAAGGACATAATTTAACTAACGGATGTTCATATTTATATTATTAGGACTGTAATTTTACGGAACTACTTTATCATTTACAGCTTTCTCACGCATCACTTGACGATGGCCTGCCTGGGCCGTACTATGTTGTGACTGAGATATTAAAAACATTTGTTTGTGTGACAGAAAATCCTCTTCATTTTTATTTGTAGGTCTACTGTTCTTTCCTACTTCTTTCGTGACTGTTCATTCCCTCTGTTTCCTTCTTTTATTGCTGAAATGCCTGCTGGTTTCGCGTCTTATATGGTTCAGATTATCCCCATTTAACTTGCTTGGATCCTGTAGCCACTGCAATTTGGCTATTGTTAATAACATAAATTTCTTTCGAACATATTTTTACATAGTTTGTTGCCAGTGCAGTGTTAAATGGTACATTTGTCTCGAGTTTTACGTTGCCTCCTTTTGTAACAATACAGTGCCATACTTTTGCTTTGTAGTTACGAATGCTGACGGCAGATGGCGGAGAACTGCCAAATGCGAAGTTACTGTGCGATTAGTGTTTTAAATAATTATGCAATGGAACATTTTCTGGGTTTGATCACATATTTCGAAAATTTCTGTCTTTTTTATTGAATCTTGGTTCTATTTAACGACTCTTAATAACTGCTTAGGTTATTTGGTAACAAATAATATTAATTTCGAATATATAGCTTCGAAAGTCGGGATGGAAATATAAAAATTAATTAACCTTTTACACCTGTTAATGAATGATTACGTATTGGTTATTTAACGATGCTTCATCAACTGCTTTGGTTATGTATCGTCAGATGGTTGAGTAATATGTGAATGATGACTTGGTATAGCCGAGAAATTTAATCATCTATGCGTTTTTAAGATATGATCCCTGTACTTTTCTGGCGGGACTGAGAAAAATTACGAGGGCGACCGATCTCCGGGACCTCCCGAGCACAAAGCAACAGTTTTACCATTTGACCACAGTTCCTCACCATACATGACTGTGCCCAGCATATGCATGTTGTTGTTGTTGTTGTTGTTGTTGTTGTTGTTGTTGTTGTTGTTGTTGGTGGTGGTGGTGGTGGTGGTGGTGGTGGTCGTCCAGGTTGGGGGTTGGACGCAAGGCTGACGATCTTATCCCGTATAAAATTTATTCTTGCGAAATCCATAAAATTGTGGCAGAACTTTCAAAAGAAGGCTATGGCTCAAAAAGGATTACTTTGCCAGTAATTATTATTATTATTATTATTATTATTATTACTGCCACTGGAATTGTTATTATTATTATTAGTTTCACTGGGAGTGTTGTTATTATTATTATTATATAAATTGTCCTGTTTTTTATTTTGTGTGTTTTGTTACTTTTTTATTCGTGCTCACTTTGTAAGTGGCCTTTAGGCTCTTGAGTTAGCACGTAAATAAATCAGGACTGAATTATTATTATTATTATTATTATTATCATCATCATCATCATAGTCATAATCGTCACTGTCATCAACATCCTCGTCAGATATTATTGGGATGATCAAGCCAAGGAGGACGAAATGGGCGGGACAAGTAGCACGCATGGGATATAAGAGTCATACAAAATGATGGTAGGAAACCTTGAAAGACAGGCAAACAAAAGCGCGGATAAGACCATGATATTAAAACGAATCTTAAAGACGCAAGATGGGAGGGTATGGATTGGAATAATCCGGCTCAGGATAGGGACCAGTGGCAGGCTCTTGTGACGACGGTAATGAACCTTCGGGTTGTTAAATATGCTGGGAATTTTGGGAGCAGATGAGTGACTGTTGGCTTCTCGATCAGGACCCGTCTCCACGGCCTCAGTAAGCTACTTCATTATTGTTGTTGTTACTGTCTTATCGTGCCGCATTATTACGCGCTCCGTGACGTCACAGTACGTGTCCAAGCAACGACACCGCGCGGACATCCGCTCTGAAGCCCGTATCCGGCAACGGACGGGCTGTGCCTCTATAAAAGGAAGTTGTATTTCAGTATCAGCGACATGCCAAGCACGTATTTTCATATCGATTTTCCATTGTAAGGAGCAATGTATCTGTTCTACGCGTTAAAATTCAGTTTCATAAACGAGATTATGACGCTTATAGTCTAGATCTTCCGTTTATATATCTAGCCCGTTTCTCTTATGAACTCTTGGGTCTTATAAGACCGCCTTTAACGTCTCTATTTTTTTCCCCTTGGCACTACAGCCCCAGTGGGCCTAGGCCTACCTCCATGAACTTCTCCGTTCACTTCGGTTTTTCTAGATCTTACACATTCGGTAGGACCCCTTGGGCGGGTGATCAGCTCGTCGCAAGGCCTCTACCTGTACACAAACACAGAAAAACGCACACACACAAACTAAACATCCATGCCCTGAGTGGGATTCGAACCCACGATCCCGGTTTCCAAGCGAGCGAAGACAGTACATGCCTTAGACCGCTCGGCTACCGTGACCGGCTAACGTCTCTATTAGGCCCTATAATTGACTCTACCTGTAATCATTCTCGCTCGTAATTGGAAGGTGCCCGGTTCTATTCTCGGACGGGACACTGATCCTGTATGAGATCTGCTGTAGTCCTTTAGGTTGCTCCTCTCAAACGCAAGAACAGTGCCTTAACTTAGGCCATTGTCGCTTCCTTCGGATCCAATTCATTATTCACTGATCATTGGGTCACTCGACGATTCATGGTTTTTGTTGCTGACATCGGCGTTAAATGCGCCGTATAACAATACTTTTTTTATTTCGCTTAGTGGGGGGTGGAGTCCAACTGGGTCCACTCGGCACGGGTGGCCACTGATTGGCCTATTGTAGCCTACCCCGGCTGATTACGATGATGGAGAATATGGTTGAATGAAGATTGGCAGGGGAAACCGAAGTACTCGGAGAAAACCTGCCCCAGCGCCACTTTGTCCACCACAAATCCCGGGCCGCCGCGGTGGGAAGCCAGCGACTAACCGCTTGAGCTCTGGCGCGGCCAACAATACATTCAGTTACATACATAAGTATCAGGGAGTTATGTAAATAACGTTTACAAGCTTGTAACGATTGTACATTAGTACAGATATGTTTCTGGACATTATCCATCGTCCTGTTTTTGTTTAAAACACAACGTTTCGGAGACTGAATTCGGCCTCCGTCGTCAGGTAAAATCTATTAATTTGGGCCCAATCGATAGAGCTAGTCCCTATCTCCGGACCTAGAAAGAAAGGATTTACCTGAAGAGAGAGGCAGAATCCAGTCTCCGAAACAGATTTTGG